TGCTGCCTCCCCCGCCCCCCGGCACGCGCGTCCGGTTGAAGACCCTTGTAGTACTCCACGCCGTCCAGCTCTGGCCCGGTCCGCTCCTGCGCCCTCCGTTCCCCCACGCGCACGCGCAAGTGTGGCGATCCATGCCGCCCCGCCTCGGCGCCCCCCACCTACCCTCTCCCACCGTCCCCATCGCTGCCCCAGCCCACATCTCCTCCACGTCATCGCTGCACATCCAAAACGGCCCTCTGCCCACCATCATCTTGCTGCCCACCGTCCCCATTGCCGCCCGTGGCCGCCCCGGCCGGCACTTCCTCGTCACCGCGCATCCACATCCGCCCCCCAAAGTTGGAGCACCACGCGCTGCGCAACTTCGCCTTGAAGAATTCCGGCTCCCCCACGCACAGCCCCCCGCGCACCACCGCCCCGCTCACGTCGCCACGAGCCTCCGGTATTTCGGGCAGCCCCGTGTCTCACGCGTCCGCCCCCCTGTCGTACGCGTCCTTCTACCACACCGCCGTCACGTGCTCGCAGTGCCCGCCCCAGTTCCGCCCACAATGTAGATCCGCGTGGCGCGGTTTAAACGGATCCGGGCGAAAATTTGTAGTGTACTGTAGCGCGGCCGCGCTCGGCAGTCCGCACAGTTATTTTAATTTTAAAATTTAACTTGTCGCCACTTGTCAGCCTGTACTGTAGTGGGGCCCCGCCCCGCAGTCCGCACAGTAATTTAAATTTAGAATGTTACACTTGTCGCCGCTTGTAGTGCGGCCGCGCTCGGCAGTCCGCACAGTTATTTTAATTTTAAAATTTAACTTGTCGCCACTTGTCAGCCTGTACTGTAGTGGGGCCCCGCCCCGCAGTCCGCACAATAATTTTAATTTAAAATGTTACACTTGTCGCCACTTGTCACCGCCACGTGTCCCCGTGGCGGCCTGGCCTGCGGCCAGGCCCCGCCCGTGGCCGCCACTTGTTACGGTAGCGCCAATGGCAACGCGGGAGCGCAAGGACATACAGACACACACACAGACACGGATTTTAGTAGTTGTAGACAAGTGGGCTCCGTGCGCGCTTCGCGCGCCGAGCCAAGGAGGCGTGGAGGAACACTATTTGGGAAGGGTGGCAATGAAAATATGTAAAGACAATGGCGTTTACTTTTTTTGGTAACTACTGAAGGACCTCGGGGTACACTACGTTTCGCGTGGTTTCATTGGACTCTCGAGTGAGGACAGTGACGTTGACTGGGTGAGTAGTCCTTGATAGTGCGACATAGAGTTGACCGTGCGAGAAGCAGTGATCTCGTTAGTCGAGACCAATGCGGCCACCGAAGGATTGGCCTTGCGCTTTGTTCGTTGTAAGGGCGAAGCACGTGCGAATGGGGAACTGCGGTCGGGTGAAGCCAGGGATGGGAAAGTTGTCGTCTCCTGGTCCGCAGGGCATTCGAGGAAGACACAGTCTGTTGCCTTGGTGTGACCCGGTGGTAACGTGTAGAAAGAGCAGGTTGTTGGTCATGTTCTCGATGACATATCGCGCGCCGTTGACGTGACCGGTAGCGGGATCGAGATTGCGCAGAAGCATGACGATGAAGCCTTTCTTGAGCTTGAGCTTGTGGTCTGGTAGAGCAGATCCGGCGGTCAAGGTGTTGAGCATTTCTGTGGGATAGATCAGGGCGTTGGTGTCTTCGTTCTCGACCTTGTCTGCGCTCAAATACGTTCGATACGATCCCAGAATCATGTTGCCGATGACCTCGTTGACTTCCTCGAGCGGCCTGTTCTTTGTGGTGAGTATAACGCGCTTGGTGAGCCAGGCAGGGTCGGCGTGATTGTCTCGAATGCCTTGGAAGACCTTGAGGCACAAATTGCGGATGGTGTGCTCGAACGCAACGGACTGTGGTAGTGAGATCCATTCCGGGCGCTGTTCGCCTTGAAGTCTGCCTTCCCCGACGCTGAGGAGGAATTCTGGAAAGTTGAGAGCCTCCACATCTGCTGCAGGGTCCGCTCGGAGAGCAGCAAGGCGCATGTTCTCGGTAAGGCGCAGGAATCGGCACTCTCGATACAGCGGGGAAGCCTTGACCCACGCACTCACGATTTGACCTCTGGACCCGCCCGGAACGGCGGGAAGGATTTGTCTAAAGTCTCCAGCGAGCACGAGGAACTTTCCACCGAAGGGCCGGTAGGTTTGCATCAAGTCTCGAAGGGAGCGATCGACAGTCTCAATGCAATGTCGATGGCACATGACGATCTCGTCCCATATGATGAGATCGACTTGTTGCAGTGTACGGCCTGTGTCGGAGTTTGCGGAGAAGCTGCACGTGCTTTCGGCAGATACAGGAATGGGAATCTTGAACACGGAATGAGCGGTGCGTCCACCGTCGAGCAGCACAGCAGCAACAGCAGACGTAGCGACAGCGATGACCTGCTTACGGCGCGTACGAAGGAAGTCTTGAATGGCGCTGAGCACGAATGTTTTGCCTGTTCCGCCAGGAGCATCGAGGAAGAAGAGACGACCACTTCGTGTCGGCATAGAAGGTCCCGCAACGGCGCTTAAGGATCCTTGAAGCAATGCAGAGACGGATACGCCTGGAAGCAAGGAGCCCACTATTTCGTCAAAGGCATGACGTTGATTTGTGTTCAACAGCGGCAACGACGTCTGTAGTCGCCCTTCCCACTGCTGCGCTCGTGCTTCGGGGGTCTCGATCTCGTTTTGCTGTTCCAAAGCGGGCAGGCTGTCATCGGGCAGTGGGAGTCCGAAGTTTGCGAGCGTCCAGTCGGATCGCACGGTCTGCAGAGCCTCCTGTACCTCTCGAAGTACGTAAGATGTGGCGTGGTGATCATCGCGAAGCTGCTGTCTTCGAATGGGTTGTCTGCGTGCACGATTGCGAATATCGGTGAGAAACATGTCCAGGTGGTTGTTCCACAGCGAGAGAGGGTCCGAAGGCTGGCAGTGTGCCAGAATCGTAGCAAACAGATGAGAAAGAGGAACGAAGCTTGACCGGAATGAATCTCGGATTGCGCGCTTCCACTCGGCATCGTCGGCCAGCAAACCGAGTCGTAAGCAAGCTTGTCGGAAGCTGTTGCACTGCTCGCCGTCGATATTTCGCAAGTTCTCGAAGGATGTCGCCCCTGGCACTTGTGTGAGGAGGAGGCGAAGAAAGTAGCGCTCACCCTCCCTCGGACTGACAGTGTAGATTCGACCGACTGCGTTGGCACCTGTACCACTGAAATCGTAGGCTTCCTCTTCGCTGGTGGCGTTCCGTCTTCGCAGGGTTGCTCTTGGACTCCATGACTTGGTGCGTGTCTTCCACGTAAAGTACCTTGGAAACTTGTGGTACCGAAGATGCCTCGCGCTTGGGTACTTCTCGTTGGCTTTAAACCACTCGGTCAGCTTCGTACCTGATGCTGGTCGAAGCGCCGCCTCCTGCTCTCGCCCTTCCTCCAAGTATACTGTATGGTGGTTGGGCAGATGCACCGTAAGTCTGACCACTGGAGGATTGCGATCTACAATGTCAAAGGAGAATAACCTCCATGCGGCCTCCGATGCCGAAACGTATCTGGCATCTTGGAAGTTGGAGATCTCATCGTGGCACTCGTTCCCGGCAGTGATTTCCATGGTCACTCGGTCTTGTCCCTTGCAAACATACTTGAAGAGGTACTTGATTCCGCCAACGCGTGACACGCAGAGTTCCACATTCAAATGGCAAGCGAATGATCGTAGAAGCAGAGGACTGTGGGGAACGACCCAGTAGTTGTCGACTACGACGGATTGCTGTCGTCGGCCAACACAGGAGGGTCGCTCGATGGAGACGCCACCTGCAGAGGGGGACCTTCTGCGGTACGTGATGTAGTACTCACTGTCAGACTGGCTGGTGTCGTGTTTGAACGATTTTGGAAACACTTTCCTGCAGTACTGCTCGCCCATGCACACGGCTGTTGGATTGCGTTCTCCACATGGATTGTGAATCATATGCTTGAGCACGACCTCTTGGAGTTCTAGATCTTGGGCAGACGGGATCTCGGCAGAGATAATGCGGTCGACGTTTTCGGGAGTACGCAGATCATTCTTGGAGACTTCATCTAGGAAAAATACAACGTGAGCGTGGGGAAGACCGCGTTTCTGAAATTCGATGACTCGTACATGGGCAACGACGGTTCCGAATACTTCTTCGTTGATGACCAAGGACATGAGATCTTTCATTTTCAGACGAAACACACGGGCGCACAGGTCCAGTCTGTCCTGAGGCGTTTGGTTCGGCAGTAGGGGTCTTGTGACCTCCGGCCAGCTTGGATTGCATGTCATAGTGAGGAAGATGTCCAGGTGGCCAATTTGGTTCGATATAGCAATGATGTCGTGCATCTGCTGCCTCATATAGCGGTCACCTCCAATGTACGTGAAAGGGAGAATGAACAGTCGTCCCGCACGCACGGCATCGGCTTCATCTTCAGCACGACAGGAGTCTCCTAGGCTGTCGCGCAGTGAGGTGTAGTCGGCGGCTCGAAGCTGTGTCTCGTGCTGTGTCTGGTTGTGGCGGAGATACGAAAGCCTTTCTGCCTCCACACGGTGTGCGCCGGGATCGCTAGCGAACGCGAAGCGGATCGGGGCTGTATTATTATTTTTACTCTACTGTAGTGTTAAATTTAAATTCGTAAACTACTGTAGTGCCGCATTGGTGCCCGTGGTAGCCACGTGTCCCAGTGGCGCGCTGGCCTGCGGCCAGGCCGCCCCCAGTCCGCACAGTACACTTGTCACTGTAGTAAAAAATGAAATTAAATCACGGCCCCGCCGCTTTCTACACGTGTCCGCGTGGCCGCCACTTGTCGCCGCAGCGCCCCCGTGCGCCAATGAGAACCCGTGCGGGAGCGCACGAACACACATACACAAACACACAGACAGACAGACACGGATTTTAGTATACGCGGGGACAGTATTTGAATGTTGATGAACATTGACTGGAAATGATTGCAACTGCCGGATGATTACTCCTGGTCATACAGTGCGTGTACCATTTCAACAGACATTTGGAATTTGATTGTCTTGGTTGAGAGAGAGGTTTGGCGTTGCAAATGTCTATCGGACTGTTGGTCCTCCTACAGTATGTTGACGAAAAATATTTTTCTGGACAGCCCAACCCGCGTGTTCACTTGTGTTTTTCGAAACCAGAAGGCCCTCACCGCAGGAAAGGCATTTGTCTGTCGATTTTAGCGACAACGCTTGGTCGGATAGACTCTAGCGAAGTTTTCATACGTATCTCTTCTATTGAATCCAGGGCCATGATCACAGTTGACTTGTGATCAACGCCGTTGGGCATTGGGCATGCGACACTCGCTGCGCTGGCGCCAGATTGATTCCGAGCTCGGCACATATACGGGCACTCGTGGGTTCAGCTCGCCGACCGACGTCGACGCCGTCAAAGTCGTACAGACTGCTAAAGGAGACTAGCTCGCCGAGCACATCCAACCCTCGATCGTCATTGTCGTCGTCGTGGTCGCCGTCCGTATCCGTCCAGTCATCGCCACGGCTGTTGTCAGACTCACAGTCGACGTCGTCATCGCGGAATTAGCCTTGATCCCTCAAATCAAGAAGAAGAAGACGTCGTCATCGCTGTCTCGCTCCCGCGCATCTTCTTTGCCCGTGACACCAGCATCGCCAACCTCAGCAGCGTCGGTGTCAGACAGCCGACATTTACTATCATCGCTGACCACCGGCATCAGGCCAGACTTCAACTTCGACGACAACAATGTCTTATTAAAAAGCAAGTTCACATGAGGTCAGTTGTACAAAGTTGTTCAAAACACTGTAGCACTGCACTGCAGTCCACGGTATGTGTTGTTCATTTCTTGAGTCGCCATGACTGATCCGCAAAAAGTGGCACAATGGCAACAACAGAAACTTAAGCCGAAGTACCCCCTCATGGGCATCCATCCCCACACATGTGTTGTGCATATTCGACCAAGACGCAGATGCTTCCCAGGCTCCCACGTGTCTTTTCCATTCTTTTGCGACAACGATGTAAACTTTAGAGCTCTTTCAAAGAGCGTCATGCGTGTGCTTTCCGGGCTCCATCAAAGGCAGTCATCGATAAGAGGTACTGGTTCGTCTACAGTATGACACCGAATGACACACCACTTGATCAAAACGATCATGAGTACTGTAATACTGTAATCTTTTCTCGCTGCCGTGCATTGGTTCCTGTTCATTGCGCTTCATTATTACAGTACAAGAGGGCCCTACTCATTAGTGCCGCCCCATGTAAGACCCCAAAATTAGCACTATTGGGAGACGGCATTAATAGGTGACGTCATCACATCTATTTTCATGCATTTGGTAATTAACGTCTGCCTGTTCCGCGTTGGGTCTCTGTCGTGTTTTGCAGTGAGGAACGCGCGCCTTTGCGGACCTCAGATACGATAGAGCGTCTGAAACTTGACATTCAGTAGCCAAATCTTCCAGCTCTCCAAACAATTCCGCAATCTCAACGACAGAGGGGACAGTCCTTCGCTCTCTCGCGTCCTCTACACTCCCATCTTCATCACTTGATTGCGTTGTAGTTGTGCTCGTCTCACCCGGAACTGACTCAAAAACGTCTCTGGCATCATTAACAAACGCCTCTACCACACTTTCGTCGGACTCAATATTTACCCACCGTTCCACATGAGAAATTCGAGCAGCTTAGCCTCTAGATTTAGGACCCATACGGCCCGGCGGGCCTTCAATTGCAGTGATTTGGGCTTCTTGTTGGCTACGCGGAGTAATTTGGGAGCAGTTGCTCTGATGTTTCGCACGGTGCGCCCTGCGATGCCGAACTGCCGCTCAATTGCTTCGGTACAGTGTCCCTTTTCGAGCAGATCTGCAATGTCTAGCTTCTGCGCTATTGTCAGGCGCTTGCGCGTTGCGTTTTTTATTTCCGCAACCGGATCCATAAGGAGGACAAGCTAAGGTCTGTGAACGCTGTTCGGCGAATGGAATGGGGCTTAGATGCCGCATTCACATGTTTTCACGCGCGACGGACGGACGGCTGCATAACACCTGGACCCGTGTGACACGTGGCACTTTCGTGTTCGTACGTCTGGCCGGCATTAATGGGAGGGTGGCATTAGCAAATGTGGCACTAATGAGAGTCCCCCCCCCCCCTGTACTACAGTACATGTACTATACTCTGTACCCTTCGAAGGGTACATTACATATACAGTAGTAATAATGTACCCTTCGAAGGGTACAGTACAGCGCTCTTTCAGCCAACGCCACTCTTCCCACTGTCCGACGATCCAATCCCAGCCTGGGGACTCCCATAACGCGATAACACACGCCGTGCAACAATGCTCTCCGACACTCATCAGCTCCTCTTCGGCTTGCCATGAATAACGACCAACCCACGGCCGAGGCGCCCCACCTCGTCATCATGAAAGCACCTCATTTTGAAGACCTCGGAGTGGTCATCCACGAAAAGTTTATTGGCTTTCCGCCTCGTTTCCCAAACAACGCCAAAACAGTGTTTGGAGCTCGTGTACAGTACTCACGATTCGGTTTTTTCTTCTGACTCGGGGGCCCCCTCCGCATCGCGCGATCGGTATCTGTCCTGTTGCCGTGTGCAAAACTTCAACAGTCTACCGCCTTGCCGTAATTTACCGAGTGGTCCTGCCGAAAAACATGAACATATCTGTTTGGCGGTCTTCTCAGCCATATTTGAGACCGCTCATCCCGCACCTTCTTCCAGAGAGTGAACACTTTGTCAACCGCAACCTTGCCCTTCAATGTCTGTGCCGACTCCGGGTGTTTGGCGCATTAGCGTTGACTCCTACTTGGCTTCCGGCATCGCTGTCTTAGTCTTCGACATCCTCTTACTTGGCATCATCAAGTGGCAATGTCAAACACTCTGCGAGTATGCAAATCTCTTTCTCTTGTACGATAGACGTCAGCCCATTCTTCCGGAAACCTCCAAGATCGGAACACTCACCGGCGGACCCATCGGTCCTATCATTCTCGCTCGCTTGTTCTCCTTCCTAATCATGCTCTCCACTGCCTCTATCGTCGTCCTTGGCTTTTGCATCAATGGAAGAACCGTCACTGCTTTCAAGCCCCAACAATATGCAGCTGTTGTCACTTTCACAGGCACGCCCTTAGAGATCGACTTTTCAAACGATTTTGAGCTGAAGTGCAACAGCACTGACTGTAAGCCAATGATCAGTACGCGCTTGTATGCCTTGGCAGATTTGAATAGATGCATAAAGAGCAACTACACTCACACGAAACTCTACTCATATGCGTACAAGGAATTGACCTTGGACGCAGAAAAACAAGAATTTCGCTCAGCCTTGCCGGGCGGTATGTGTGTCAATGAAGAAAACTTTCGGGAACCAATGATATTTCGAGAATGGCAGATGAGGGTCTCTTCCCCAGTGCTGTGCAATTTTTCTGATATCGAAAATCCTTTTAAACAGAATGGCGACATAAATGACGTCCGCGAAGCGAAATTTGTCGCAGACAAATGCGAACCAGAGGTGAAACGTCTCTATTGTGTTAAAATGCATATCACGGCATGCGCGGGGTGGGGTCAGGCCCGAAAGAACGGAAAGATGGCCAGTTTTATCGTACTCGTACAAGACATTGACAAGGATTCAAGCGAGGGCCTGGTTGTGCGAGTTGGTCCTTTGGACAACGAGGAGCAAGAGAAGAAAGCTGCATCGAATTTGGCATTTCTCAGTACAGTGGGATTCCGAGGTGGCGTATCGAATCTGGTAAACATAGCCATGAGTGATATATTGGAAAATAAGGAGCTCTACTTGCGTGAGGAAGAAGGACAAAATATTAGCGAGGTGGATCTTAACTTAGCAACACCGGCGTTCGCAGTTCTTGCGGCAACTACACTGCTTCTGGCTGTCCTTGTCCTTGTGTCATGGATATACATGGTGGTTTTGAAAGGACGGAAAGGATACAAAACGTTTTGTTCCGTGCCACAAATTCTTCAGCTTGTATGTACAGAAAAAGCGTCCAAGATGAAATCTACTGTTGCAGCGAAGAGAGTGATTGGAGTATCTCGAAGAGGGCCACACCTGTCGGTCTACAAAGAGGAACACAAAGAGGAGTGCTCGGATTGGTCATGGGAAGAGCCAGATGTGTACTAAGGGCAAGCCACTAACGTTAATAGAAGAAATTACATAAAACACAGCAGAGCCAGGCCTATGCTTCGTGGATTGGATTGTTGTTGAGGACATGCAGCTCGACCGTCGTGGTGCGAAAGCGCGTTTATTGTCTTCGTTTCCGATAACGAGGCAGTGGAGGACGTAGCTTGGACAGGTTGTGGATTTTCCCAAAAGGCAGAGGTGTCGGAGGCGATTGGAGATGGGCCCAGGAAGCTGGACCGGCTTTCG